AAAACAGGCAGTTTCCAGTGGCTGCTTTGTCATCCATCCATTTTCATGAAGCTCTGTGTACCTTTCCAAGCAGCACGTCGGCATCGATGCTCGTCCTTTACACATACTGGCAGGCTAGACGGTGGGCGGTTTGAGTCTCGCCGCTGTCGGGTGGCGGGGTTGAAATAATATCCTCAGTAGGAAGTCAGATTGTCTGTGTGGCCGACGACAGCCGAGAGAGGAGCTCTTTATACTATTTGCCCTCCGCCGGGCTCCGATGTGTCATCAGAGCTCACAGCCAATCGGAGCAGGCGAATGGGCGAGACTCACGATGAAGTCACGTAAAAAGGGTGGGGGGGGGGGGGCGACAGGCTTGGAAATTTCTATCAAATGATTCAAGAAAGAAATCAAAGCTGGTGCTCATCAACATTTTTGTTCTTCCGCCTCCCTCCCGGTACAAAACAAGCAGCTTTAAAACACTGAAAGAAACACAGCCAGCAATTTGGTCTCCAAGGGAGGAGGAGGGGGGGGGGGTCGTTTACACAACGTGCAGACATTAAATGCGCATTTCGATGACTTTAAGCATTTGGCTCTCGTTTCCTAATGTGCTGGTTCCGAAACCAGCGTGACTTTCAAAAATCCGGGAGGCTTGTACCGATCAAGGCATCCGATTCGTTTCGCCTTATCAGAGAGGCCTGCGCCCAACAGAGGTTTGCCTGTGTGCTTGTTGTGCGGTCGCCTCAAGACGATTTTTACATGCATGACTCGAGCAATGGGGCGAATTCAAAGGAAATGAACATTTTCATTTTCCAAGAACAAAAATACAGAATTCGTGTCATCCATCCATCCCTCCATTTTCGAATCCGCTTCCCCCCGGGAGGCTCTCCCGAGCCTCTCCCAGCCGTCTTCGCGCAGTAGGCGGGGTACACCCGCAACTGGTCGCCGGCCCATCGCAGGGCACACGCAGACCAACAACCAACTGTGCCCACACTCACACTGAGGGACCATTTCGAGTGTTCCATTAACCTGCCGCGCATGTTTTTGGGAGGAAAGCGGAGTACCCGGAGAAAAGCCACCCGGGCACGGGGAGAACATGCAAACTCCTCACAGGAGCCAGAATTGAATCCCGCACTAGATTATTCGATGGCAAAAAGTACGACATGGACAGACGTTATTTTCTTTCTGTTTGGTTGTATGCCGTGGAATTTTGCAAATGTAAAATAAGTGCCTTGGCTCAATCAAGTTTGGGACTCACTGAAACAGCCCGTCGAAAGCAAGTGCGCGCGACGTGATACCAAAGCATTTAGCCAGCATGTGTTGTACCAAGATAGCATATGGTGAATTAGATTGCAGTGGATGCCCCCCCCCCCCCTTCCCGACGAGAACACAACGTTAAAACCCAATCGCTCCAGAATCTTGGTCCTATAGCGAAGATGTAACAGCTCCATTTGTTGCCAGGCGATTAAAGAAGAGTTGCCTTGGGGAACCCAGCCGCCCACTCGTGCACTCATTCGGTGATGTCAGCACACCTTTTGTACTGACGATAATGGGAGAAAGCGCAACCGGAAGAGAAGCGTGGCTTTTGAAAAAATATAAAATAAAAAAAAAAAAACAAGAAGCAGCGCATTTATTTGACAATGTTGCCGCGGCTTCTTTGTGTGCCGCAGGTTCGCTGTCCTTGAAGTTGGCTGATGCAAACGACGCGCACAAGCGTGGCAACACATCTCATCACTGCACGGATTGGTGACTCAAACTCGGGGGGGGTCTTTGAATTTTTTCGTGGGAGGGCCGCGTACGGAAAAAAAATGGTCGGATGAAAGGACCACAATTTGTCAACTTTTTCGAACGTGCGAAAGTCAGTCAAGAAGGCAATTTGAGATTGTTTGCATTCATCCGCTTTCCGTTCAAGGTGTTGAGGCGAATAGTCGAGGCGTGTTCGGAATTTTTGGGGTGACCGACGGCCCTCGATCGCACGGAAGTAGATCCAGCTGTGCACATATTCACAACCTGCCGAATTTCCACATTCAGAATGCAAAACACTCGAGTGTTTTGAAGACAAACGCCGTTATTCTTTGAATCATAAATGGTTTCTTTACACATTCGGCAAGAGAGAAACGTTCTACAGTAGGGAAGCAAATGTGTTTGCAGTCGTGGCACCTATTTTTCGGATACCCTCCCTTCTCACTCTGCCCACCTTCAGCGTTTTTTGACGAACCTTACGGCCCGTGTCAAAGGTCGTCTTTCCCTGGCTGTATTTTGTTGCTCCACATCCTGACACAGGTGCACCGCTGGCTTGCGTTCACACTTGTCCCGAGCCCATCCTGCACAATTTTGTTGAGTTCACGTAAACGGTCAACACTCAACAAACCAAAGACGCAACGTTAAAACAGCAGCCGAAAGCACGGGGACACGACCCGAGCTGGGTGAAGAACCCTCGTCCCCCCCCCCCCCCCAAGATTGTGCACTGCGAGCCCCCCCCCCCCCCCCCCCCCCCCCCCCTAGTCAAACTCCATCTGCGTACCGAAACCTTGCTTTACCCCACCTGGGCTTTTGACAGAATCTCTTAACCCAATGCAACCTGAAATCGCCTCCCCTTATCGCCCGCTGACGTCCGTGCCAGTGAAAAGCTGTTCTTTCGGGCTCCGTTAGAATGGAGGGGGGGTGGGGGGGGGGGTGGATCTCATCCGAAGCTCAGCATGCTTGTTTTCTAATCCCTTCAAAAGCAAAGACGGGGATGGATGCGCGGAGATGAGCGCTTCCTTAAAATATTCTTTTGCGTGACCTAAACGCATTTGTGGCAAGCGCGCTTCCACCAGTGGAAAACTCCCAAAGAAAAGATGAGCGGCAAGAAGAGATAATAAGGACGCATTTATCAAGTCAATGGACGATACCTGATATGAACCTTCTTCTCATTCCACTGGGAGGCTTTTAGTGGCGCTGACAAAGTAGGTCGGGAAACTCATCTACGGTCAGTGGACTTGTATTCTGATCTACTTCTAGCAAACAGCTAACCGACGGTAAGACAGAACCACGGTCGTTCGTTGGAACCATTTCCCAAAAAATGGCCGCCGACTCCGATGTATAACGCAGGAGGAACATTTTGCATGTGTAAGAACGTGAACATGTAAGACAGTACCGACATATCCACGACAAATACGTAAATCACCTTCAGTCAGCAAACGTTAGCGGCCAGAGGCAACTGCCGGTGCCGCCGCTGCAGACGAACGTC